AATAACTTAGTATATCTTAGAATAAAACCTTGAGCATCAACGTCCCAAAATACAATACATTTTTAAAAAAGTTTTGATTAACCTTTTTGCTCTTTCGCGTTAAAGGCGTTTTAAACCAGAAACTATTAGTTGCACTTTTAAAACTTCAACGTGTTTGGTGCATTTTGAAATAACTCAACCATGCAGCTTCTTAAATCTTCCTGCCTGGTTTTTAGTTCCTTTGTGACACACTTGCTTACAACTCTTTCAGCACAGGTTCTTTTTTCATTCCCTTAACTTTTTGGCTACAAAGTCAACTTCCTTCAGTCCCACACATCATGTTCTTCAATCTCAGTCTACCCACTTGACATCAGTTGTTTGTAATCCTTTCATCAGGTATAGGGATTTACTTCCTGACCAACCACTAAAGTATTTCAAAATTTCAGTGCAATTTTGTTCAATTAGTTTTCATCCAAATACCATCATCGCTCAGGGAGATTAATCACTGGGACCCACTGATCCATGTAGCGACTTTCCCGGCAAAAGCAAATCAGCTGACTCAGTGCTGGATCCTTCCATTGAGATGCATGGGGATTCTGGAAAAAAATAGTTGTTTCAAAATAAAACTGAATGGTCTTAACTCACTAGTGCAAAAAGATGGTGCTCCTAACTAACATCCAAATGCAAAGCTAAACTGGATCCTTGAACTCAGATTTTAGTTTGATACAAATAGTCTCCTCAAGCCCCTTAGAGGTTTTGTGAAATCCTATGCTATATACATAACTGCATTGCAATAGGGATTCAACATCTAAAAGCTGAGTAAGGGGTTCAGAATTTGGCTGTGGTGGAGGTGTGGTCTAGTGGTCAGAGCATTTTAAATACATTCCTATTTTACGTACTGGCATTTTCTTGATGTCTTGAAATTTTGTTTCATTCTAGTGTTAATCATGCTGAAAACCACACACAAACATTAACGATCTGGCTTCTTATTTGAAAATGCAAGATTATATATGATGGACCATAACAAGAGTGTCAGGATATTGTAGAGAGGTTGTAGAAAATAGCTTTAACATTATACTGCACCTACACTATTGCATATAAACGTATAACAGCAAAGCAAACAAAACCACTTAAGATTCCTTTCATGTTTCTTCTGCAGTATGGGCATAATGGAAATACTTAACAAGTGTTTTGAGGACTATTTTTAGCATCGGGAAAAATATTAAAATAAGGAACTGCATGCATATAAACTTCTTCTACTTTTTAAGCTGAAAATTATTGACCCATTTCCTGCTCTGACTCTGAAGAGCAGATGAATTTCAATTGAGCTGAATTATTTCCCTATTTTTCTCCAGAGAAATGTACACAACAATTTTTGACCATGGGCTAGAGTTAAGAAATTATTACTAGTGTTCAGACTTGTCAAAACCTTTAATGAAAATTTCTTCCCACTCTAAGGGCTTCCTCTAAAAGCAACTAACCTGTGCTATCTAATCTCTACTCTGAGCCAATTTGTAATAAGGAAAGACAAATAGAGGAGGCTGCTGTAGCAAGGTGACTCATGGGGATCTCTCTGCTGCTGGCAGGATCTTTAACATGTTTGAACATGCCCATATGGGGAAAATCTTTATGATCAAATCAGGAACAGCTCTGATGCAATGTCCTTAGTACAGGAAATAACTAAGTAGGGAAAAGGGCATGTCATTCCCCATAGCAAGTTAAAGATAGGCCTGATCCAAGTCCCAGATCTGAGTACTCCCAGATCTGGGGGTGGAGGGTGTAAATCCAAACCCAGATTTGAATATATAATGGCCAGAACCCCAGATCCCAAACTCCATGTGTTCAATATCTTATCCAAGGGCATATTTTAGGTTCTCTCTAAAGTAAACCCAACTGTAATCAGGTAAGAAACAGGCCTCAGAGACCCAGCTTAAGCTGCAGCAAGGGAGCTCTGTGCCAGTGAGTCTTTTGTGCTCCTGCTACTGGGGAGGGAGGACGGGATGGTCACTTACTGTGACAAGCACACAGTGCAGGTCTGCAGGCTGCTCAGCTCCCCCACTTGGCCCCAGAAGCAGCAGCTCAGCCAGCCGGCCTGGGTTGCTCACTCGCAGGATGTTAATGTCATTCTCACAGCAGAAAGCCTGGATCAGGGTGAAGTGGATTTGCAAAGCAACATCCCGATCATCCTCCTCATCTGCAGCTAGCAAACAAAGCACCACATTATCCGGATCCCTGCAAGGATGAAACAATACAGCCTGATTAGTCACAGCTAACACACAATTACATATTTAACAGAGACACATACCGATGAAACAAACAATGTCTCAGCTTATACACATGCAGAAGCTACTAGGTAGGCTGATGGTGTGTGTCTGAGCCATGAGTAATCATGCACACGTATGTTCACAAGGGGAGACCTGTGTACACACAGTACATACCTGCAGTACATACCGATGCATCCCTATTTATCTGCTTTACATGCACACAGGTGTACTTCCCCCAAGCCCCACTGTACATGCACAGAAGTGTTCTTCCCCCAGCACTGTACATGTGCATAGGTGTACTTCCCCCAGCCCTGCTGTCCATGCACACAGGTGTACTTCCCCCAGCCCCGCTGTCCATGCACACAGGTGTACTCCCCCCGGCCCCGCTGTCCATGCACACAGGTGTACTCCCCCCAGCGCTGTCCATGCACACGGGTGTACTCCCCCCAGCGCTGTCCATGCACACGGGTGTACTCCCCCCAGCGCTGTCCATGCACACGGGTGTACTCCCCCCAGCGCTGTCCATGCACAGCGCTGCGCTCCCCCCGGCCCCGCTGTCCATGCACACAGGTGTACTCCCCCCGGCCCCGCTGTCCATGCACACGGGTGTACTCCCCCCAGCGCTGTCCATGCACACGGGTGTACTCCCCCCAGCGCTGTCCATGCACAGCGCTGCGCTCCCCCCGGCCCCGCTCTCCATGCACACGGGTGTACTCCCCCCGGCCCCGCTCTCCATGCACACGGGTGTACTCCCCCCGGCCCCGCTCTCCATGCACACGGGTGTACTCCACAGCGCTGCGCTCCCCCCGGCCCCGCTGTCCACGCACAGCGCTGCGCTCCCCGCACAGCGGGCGTGTGAGGGGGCGGTTAGCCCCCAGCACAGCGCACAGACCGGCAGTGGCGGCAGGCTGCGCCCAGGGGCACCTCGCCCCCCGGGGGGAGGGCGGGCAGGGGATTACCAGACAGCAGAAGGCAGCCGGGGGCCTCGGGCCTCCCCACTTACACGTTGAGCAGCTTGGCCGCCTCGTAGACCCCGACGGTGACGCTCCTCTGAGTCAGGGCTTTGCTGAGAACTTCCTCCAGCGCGCTCCCCGCCGTCTCCATCCTGAGAGCAGCAAGAACAAGCCGCGAGGCTCCTGTCAGCCACCCGCGGCGGGGTCCTCGCTGCGCCCGCCCCGGCCCCGGCCCCGGCCCCGGCATCCCCTCGCCCCCGCGGCGGGGCGATCGGCTGACAGGCAGCCCCGCAGCGCCCGCGCCCCCGCCCCCGCCCCGAGCAGCCCCCCGCGCCGCGGTACCTGCCCATCGCCTGCTGCTCTCCAGCCAGCTCCTCCAAAGTCATAGTGCAGCCGGAGCGCGCCCCGCCCCGCCCCGCCCGACACACCGGCGGGGGCCCTGCCGCGACCCTCACGCCAACTTGCGCCGCCCCAGCTGCGACCCCGGCCCCCGCCGCGCCGCCCGCACCCGCCAGCAGCGCCGCAGCCTCTGAGGGACAAAGGCGGCCTCGGCCGGGCTTATCCTGCCAACATCCAGCCAACCGTCTCCTTCCTCATTTGCATGCGGCCGCCCCATTGGGCCATGCAAATATAGTTTCGCGGCCCACTTGCCCCCTTTGCCCGGGCCCCGCCGGCCAGAGGATGGGGCCGGCAAGCCGGGCGCGGGACGACAGCGGCGCCCCTCCTGCCGATTGGCGGGGCAAGGGGGTTGGGAGGCGGGGTCTGCGGGGGCAGGGCGCCGCCGATCATCACGGCAGCCTCTGTGGGGCTGGTTCAGCTGTTTTTCTGGTCGGTGCACATTTCTCCCCCCTTGGAGTGGGGGAGGGGGCTGCTGTGCCGAGCTGTTGCCAGGGCTTAGTGCTCGCAGGGCACCGGGACAATAGGAGTTGTTGGTAAGCAGGTTAGGAAAGCCAAGGGTAGCTGCCCGCGTGCAGCGCGGTGTCCCTTCCAGCTGATGTTCATTGAACTCCTGCATTGTGCTGCGGGGCGCTGCCTGGCTGTGCAAGGGGGCAGCATTTCAGCGGCGGGGTGTGTGACCTGCCACCCAGATGTCACACGGCATAGGCAGGGGAGGGACACGGTTTCTGTATCCACCTCTGCTGCTGCATGGACTTTGGCATGCATATGGCTCCATTTGGAGAGGTGCTAAGTACCCCCCCCCCCAGCTCCTCTTGACTTCCCTGTAGCTGTTGACTTGCAATAGGAGCTGGGGGTGCCCAGTGCACCTTTAAAGAAAAACATCTGGTTTCTGTGCCTCAGTTTCCCCATTTGAACACCTCCCAGGGATGTTGTGAGACTTGGTTCATTAATGCTGGTGAAAGCTGTATGAGAACCTCAGATAGAAGGTGCTTAGGAAACACAAAACAGCATTATTGGGAACCTGGTTCTTGTCGCATACCCATTTTTAACATATGTTTGAAGAATGCCATTGTAACTGTTAGTATTCATTAACATCAGAAGAGAGGTTACCAGTCGCATGTAATATAACACAATTCTTGTGAAGCGGCTGAACTAGAGTAGGGGCCAGATTCTCAGCTGATATAAATGGGCATAGCTCCATTTAAGTCAAAGTAACTATGCAGATTTACACAAGCTGGCCCTTGACTCCTAAAAATCAGGACTTAAATAGGCTTAGTAAGCCAAAAATTGTCTATGCCCACAAATACACACTAAGGGCTCAATGCTGCAAGGTGCTGAATGCTCTGGCATTAATCCACAAAAGCACTTAATGTTTAAGCATGTGCTTTTCTGGGTCAGGGTCAGAATGCTGATCTCGTAGATCCAACACTTTGCTAGCCAGCATTATGGTTACAGTCAGGGAGAGCTGGGTTACTGGGAACTTTCCAGTTTATGGGACCTGTCTTGCCCTCCTGGTTGGGTTAGTTTCAGTTTCTGCTGAGTGAATACTGGAAGATATGGCTGCGTCATTGGCCTTGTGTGCTGCTTTGGAGTTTCTGCGGGTCATGTCTCAGCTGTGCACTCTGACATCATTTCCTGCCTGCTACAGAGTAGGTCTATTTCTGTCTCCTATCTTCAGTTTAGGTCATTTTCCTGCACCCCTCACTCCCAGTCCATCTATTGTTGGACTCCAGGCATATTTTTAGATTCCTTCCCTCTGCCCTAGGGCCTCCATTTCTGGCCTCCAACCTGCTCCAGCTTTTTCTCTTCTAATTTCCGCCCCTCCCCCACAACAGCTCCTTTTTTACTTTCAGGTACCCCTTTCCCCTGGCAAGATCTCTCCCTTCTCTTTTGGTAACCCTGCAATAGAGGTGGGGAGAGAACGAGCAAGGAAAAGACATTGGAGGAAGGTAAGTGGGAGACTGAGAAGAAGCTTGAGGGAGAGCTGATACAAGAGAAGAGGAAAGCTGTGTAAGTAATGCTGGCTGGAGGAAGAGAGAAAGCATAGGGAGCAGGGAACAGAGTGAGAAGATGAAGCACCGAGAACTTAGGGAGACAGAAACTCAGAGAAGCAATAAGGAAATAAGGTTGGAGTAAATTAAAAAGGGAGCAAAGCCTGCAAGAGGTGGGGCTGAGACTGTGGAAGCCCTGACTAAAGGAAGCACTGAGATGTAAGGACTGTTTTTTCCCCACTTCATCCTTTACGGTAATAGTCCTGGTTTCTCTTCTGGAAGAGGGGCACATGGCTAGCTCTGGAAGGGAGTGTCAGAGGTGCCTTTTAATGCCCAGGCAGAGCTCTGGCCTTTCCACCCATAATCTACCATGGCAACTGCCCTGGTTTTCCACTTCAAAAATCTGATTTCCCTAGTTAAGGATGGTAACTGAAGGAAAAACAATGGGCTGGAAATAAGTAAGTGCGTATCAGACCAAATCACCCTAAGTATTCCCAGTCATGCACTGAAATGGATTTCCCAACTCTTCCTCAGGTCTGAGACCCACCCAAATCTGCTATCTCACATTTGTTACAGTAAGTTACTGACGTAAGATTATGCTGACTCATGCAGTGGAAATGACAGAAAACGTTTTCTCTAGGCCAGCGGTTCTCAACCCACTGGCTGCATGCAGCCCAATTATCACACAGCTGTGGCCCAGCTGTGTGCGAAAGGCTGCCAGGCCACACAGCATGGGTCTGGGCTACCGGCTGGTCCTGCATAGTGGGAGGTCTGGGGCTGCTGGTTGCCCTGCACAGTGGGAGTCTGGGATCCAGGGCTGCCGGCTGGCCCCGCACAGCACAGGTCCAGGGTCACTGCCCGGCTCCATAGGGTCCATGTCCAGGGCTGCTGGCTAGCCCCAGGGGGTTGGAGTCCGGGGTTGGTGTCAGGGATGCCGACCATCCCCAGGGGGTTGGGGTCCGGGCTGCTGCCTGGCTGCCCTACCACGCAGCAGGGTCCAACAGGTCAGGGCTGCTGCATAGCCCCGCATGGCGGGGTTTGGGGTCCCTACTCCCCGGACCCCCACCCAGGGCTCCACTCCTGGCCCCACTCTGTGGAGAGGTCTCTTGGTGGGCGGCGCTGGGCATAGGGGTCAGTCAGGAGAGGTTCGGGGGAGGAGGAGTACGCTGTTTTTGGCTAACGCAAGAGAGTGCCCAAAAGTAAAGTCAGTGATATCTGTGTTGGCAGTCAGCTGAGGTCAGGGATGGATCAATTTAAAAAAATCCTGAAATATGAGGTTATATCACCATTAGAAGCGTGAAGTGCCTGAACTTGTACTTTCCTTGAGAGAGAAGCAGTGATAGCTCGTTGACTGAGATCACCCTTTAGATCAGGGGTGGGCAAACTCTTTGGCCCGAGGGCCACATCAGGATGCAAAACTGTACGGAGGGCGGGGTAGGGAAGGCTGTGCCTCCCCAAACAGCCTGACCCCCGCCCCCATCCGCCCTCTCCCACTTCCTGCCCCCTGACTGCCCCCCTCAGAACCCTCAACCCATCCAACCCCCCCGCTCCTTGTCCCCTGACCTCCCCCTCCCGGGACCCCCACCCCTAACCGCCCCCCAGCACCCCCCCAACCCCTCCACTCCCTGTCCCCTGACCGCCCCGAACCTCCGCCCCATCCAACAGCCCCCTGTCCCCTGACTGCCCCCCGGGACCTCCTGCCCCTTATCCAACCCCCGTGCCCCTGCCCCCTTACCATGCCGCTCAGAGCAGCATGTCTGACAGCCACGCCGCCCGGCCAGAGCTAGACACGCTGCCGCACTGCCTGCATGAGCACGCAGCCCCGCCACCCAGAGAGCTGCCCACGTGGTAGCATTGCTGGGGGGGACAGCGGGGAGGAGGCGGGGCTAGCCTCCCTGGCCGGGAGCTCAAGGGCTGGGCAGGATGGTCCCGTGGGCCGTAGTTTCCCCACCTCTGCTTTAGATCCTGTGCCACACAATGAGTCCCCCTGTGAAAAGAAGTGACTCTCATATCATTTTAAGGCCCACATTCAATCTTGTACTGGGGATAAATGTACATGCAAGCCAGGTCTAGCCCTGGGCCCTTGGCCAATTGCCAATACAGCTCTTGGTGACATTACATTCAGGTGCCTCTGATTTAGCATAGGTACAAAGTTTTCTATCATATCCATTGCATGAGTCAGCATTTATGTCAATAATTCACTGTGATAAAAGTGAGATAGAAACTATGGCTGGCACAGAGGTGAGCTGGTGCTTAAAATGAGGGCATTGCATTTCACTGCATAACTGGGAGCAGCATTTGGTCCAATGATTCACTCTTCCTTCTGCATCAGAATTTCTTAAGTGCAATATTGCCAACCCGAAGCATTCAAAAATCACAGGTCAGGCCCCCCCAAAATCATGACACTGGCATAAAAATAGTGAAATTTAAAAAAAATTGGGGGTTCTCTCTAATTTGCCGTCTTGTTTCTGGGCCTTTAAGGTACACTCAGGTCACAGGTTTCAAGTTGTTCTTCATAACCAGGAAGTCTAGAGATTTACTTTGCTTTTTTTAATGAAAGTTGAGATACTCGGCTCATTATGGCATACAGCAAACAGGAAAACGTAAAAAAAAGAGCTCTCCAACCTGGAGACTCTCATAAATAACCAACCTTCCATACAAACGGACTTTACTAAAATAAGACAGGAGATCTACATTACACACTTCACCTCTCTACAAAGGAAAAAGGACCATAAGCTGTCTAAAATCCTACCTGCCACATGGGGCCACAACAGTGATACCCCTAACTCACCCAGCAGTATCGTCAATCTATCCAGCTACACACTCAACCTGGCAGAAGAGTCTGTCCTATCTCGGGGACTCTCTGTTTGCCCCGCCACCCCCATAAACATGATAGTTCTGCGGTGATCTGGAAGCCTACTTTTCCCGTCTCCGACTCAAAGAATACTTTCAAGATAACACTGAACAGCACACTGATACACAGATACCCTCCCACCAACAGCACAAGAAAAAGAACTCCACGTGGACTCCTCCTGAGGGTTGTAATGACGGTCTGGACCTATACATAGAATGCTTCCACCGACGTGCACAGGCAGAAATTGTGGAAAAACAACATCGCTTGCCTCATAACCTAAGTTGTGCAGAACACAATGCCATCCACAGCCTCAGAAACAACCCTGACATTATAATCAAAGAGGCTGATAAAGGAGGTGCTGTTGTCATCATGAACAGGTCTGACTACCAAAAGGAGGCTGCCAGACAACTCTCCAATACCAAATTCTACAGGCCACTTTCCTCAGATCCCACTGAGGAATACACTAAGAAACTGCACCGTCTACTCAGGACACTCCCTACACTAACACAGGAACAACATACTCTTAGAGTCCCGACTGGGGTTATTCTATCAACTACCCAACATCCACAAACCCGGAAATCCTGGACGCCCCATCATCTTGGGCATTGGCACTCTCACTGAAGGACTGTCCGGATATGTGGACTCTCTACTCAGACCTTACTCCACCAGTACTCCTAGCTATCTCCGTGACACCACTGATTTCCTGAGAAAATTACAATGCATTGGTGATCTTCCAGAAAATACCATCCTAGCCACCATGGATGCGGAGGCTCTCTACACAAACATCCCACACACAGATGGAATACAAGCTGTCAGGAATGGTATCCCTGATGATGTCACAGCACAACTGGTTGCTGAGCTCTGTGACTTTATCCTCATGCACAATTATTTCAAATTTGGTGACAATATATACGTCCAGACCAGTGGCACTGCTATGGGCACCCGGATGGCCCCACAATATGCCAACATTTTTATGGCTGACCTGGAACAACGCTTCCTCAGCTTTCATCCACTCACACCCCTTCTCTACCTATGCTACATTGATGACATCTTCATCATCTGGACCCATAAGAAGAAACCCTGGAAGAATTCCACCACGATTTCAACAGCTTCCACCCCACCATCAGCCTCAGCCCGGACCAATCTACTCGGGAGGTCCAATTCCTAGACACCACGGTGCAAATAAGTGACGGTCACGTTAACACCACCCTATACCAAAAACCCACCGACTGCTATGCCTACCTTCATGCCTCCAGCTTCCATCCCAGACACAGCACACGATCCATTGTCTACAGCCAAGCGCTGAGATACAACCGCATTTGCTCCAACCTCTCAGACAGAGACCAACACCTGCAAGATCTTCACCAAGCATTCTCAAAACTATGATACCCACACGAGGAAATAAGGAAGTAGATCACAGAGCCAGACATGTACTCAGAAGGCTCCTGCTGTGAGACAAGCCCAAGAAAGAAACCAACAGAACTCCACTGGCCATCACGTACAGTCCTCAGCTAAAACCTCTCCAATGCATCATCAGTGATCTACAACCCATCCTAGACAACGATCCCAAACTTTCAAAGACCTTGGGAGACAGGCCAGTCCTCGCCCACAGACAACTCGCCAACCTGAAACATATTCTCACCAGCAATGGCACACCGCACCATAGTAACTCTAACTCAGGAACCAATCCATGCAACAACCTCGATGCCAACTCTGCCCACATATCTACATCAGCAACACCATCACAGGACCTAACTGGATCAGCCACACCATCACCGGTTCATTCACCTGCACGTCCACAAATGTAATATACGCCATCATGTGCCAGCAATGCCCCTCTGCTATGTACCTCGGCCAAACTGGACAGTCCCTACGTACAAGGATAAACGGATACAAATCAGATATTAGGAATGGCAATATACAAAAACCTGTAGGAGAACACTTCAACCTCCCTGGACACACAATAGCAGATTTCAAGGTAGCCATCCTGCAGCAAAAAAACTTCAGGACCAGACTTCAAAGAGAAACTGCTGAGCTTCAGTTCATTTGCAAATTTGACACCATCAGCTCAGGATTAAACAAAGACTGTGAATGGCTAGCCAATGGCAAAAGCAGTTTCTCCTCCCTTCGTGTTCACACCTCAACTGCTAGAAGAGGGCCTCATCCTCCCTGATTGAACTAACCTTGTTATCCCTAGCTTGATTCTTGCTTGCATATTTATACCTGCCTCTGGAAATTTCTACTACATGTATCTGACAAAGTGGGTATTCACCCACGAAAGCTTATGCTCCAATACGTCTGTTAGTCTATAAGATGGCACAGGACTCTGCCGCTTTTACAGATCCAGACTCACACGGCTACCCCTCCGATACTCGGCTCATTATCTGACTCCAGCAGCTGGGGCTTCAAGAACAAAGCACAAAATATTGCAGGATTTGCAATACAATCCGGAGAGCTGGCAACTCTGAAGCGAAAGATGCAGCCACAACTTAATAGGTTTATTTGTGTTTTTCTCCAAGAAGCTGGTAAAGAAATATCCCCTCTGCTTTTTAAATTTATTTTAAGTATTTTATCATTTTAATTGTGCAGCAATTCAAATTACTTATACTAAAAAATTGCTAAGAGTGAATAGAAGAAGGGGGCATGTGTGCAGCAGATACTGTATATCCTGATTGCACAATGCAGCCTATCCCTCAGCCTTTGTGGCTTTCTGTACATCTGGCCTTGTTAGGCATTTAAGCACTGGGGTTAATGTCCTCTTCATACATCGTCCTCCAAAGAATATAGGAGCTTTTGTCAGTGACTTTGTAGAACGCTTGGGTTTGTTTTTAGGAGCCTAAAGGTTTCCCATGTCTATAACTTTTATTATAACATGTTTTTTAATTATACACTTGTTAATTGTGTCATCTTCTGCCATCGCTAAATTCTGTCCTGCACGTTCTGTAAGTCATGCACGTGCCTGCTGTGATCTTTTCACCAAATATTTTAACTGGGGGAAGCTTCCTGTACTAAACTGTGTGGTAAGTCAGATGGTTAGACAGAGAGTCTTGGGGCTGGTGGTCACCCTTAGATGTTCCTCCTAGAGAACATGCTTTCTGTCTTAGACAATTACTGGATTCAGAATACTTTACTCTCTGATGCACATAAATTTGGATCTGTTGTGCTCAGAAAGGCACAGGGTCCCTAAATATGGCACAAAGTCTTAATATAACAACACTATCTCTACAGTGGACACCCTGGCTACACTTTATATCTGCCCCTTGCTGATAAGGTACCACTGATAACTGTGAAGTAAGGAGAGCCACCAGTGCACCCTCAGCTCCCATTGGCTTCAGTGGGATTTGAGGCTGCTCAGCACATTCCAGAAGCTGCTTAGCACCTCTTAGGGTTGGGCCCTCCTCCTAGCAGCACCATGGCACTTTTTAAATGTATGGTTTAAATAAGCCCAAAAAAATAGTAATTCTCGCAGGTGGATCCCCGCTGTCAGATCTGACCTGAATGAGCCTACACAACAAGCTGCATAGAACCAAACTGATCTATGTTAGAACTGATGGGAGGTGAGCATTTCGTTCTAGTGAATCTAGTTACTTCAAATTTGAGACTTGGCCCTTCAGGCTATGCTTTTCTCCAAAAGTCAGATAGTTATTTGCAATCGCTGCAATATTAACAAAATAACTTTTCTAAAAGGTACTGTGAGAAGCCTTACATTTTGTTCAGTGTCTTGTGTCTTTAAGCCCTGTATGGCATCTTTAGTTGCCATACACACATTTTCTGGCACCGCCCCCAAATCCAGCCATTTTGATCAGACTTTACAAAACCTTTGACAGACCAGAGAGATTAATAAAAAATCACAGCCCAATCCTCAGCTGGTGTAAATCAGTGCAGCTCCACTGACCTCAGACCGCTACATTCCCGGAGATAGACCCCAAACCTACAAAAAAGTAACAAAAGATATTAAATGAAGCAGCAAAGACTGTGACTCGTAGGAAAACTACAACAAAATATGAAAAGAGGAAAGGGAATAGATCTCTTCTTAAATCAGACAGTCTGTAACTTGTTTGAAGAGCTAACACACAGGAAACAAGTGGCAGTGCCTTAGGGCTAAAGCTCCACTGTACTGTCTCTCAAAAAATATCAATCACTGAATAAATTCAACCTGAACACAATGCTGTACAAACCACCCTTGTATCTGTGTATCACAAGTTCAAACCTACCCTACCTGTGTATAACCGTGCTGCACTGAATACCTTTGAATATACAATAGTTAAACTCAATAGCTATACACATACCTATCTATAACAATAGCACACCAAAACGCACTGTCCCTTTCTGTTCTGCAATATTATGCCAAATATTTACATGTATATTTTACCTTTGGACTTATCAAGAAGTACTCCTATAAAATGCAAATGAACAGCTAAACAAAAGGGTGCATATAATCTCAGACTTCCCCATTCAAAAGTGGCTTAAAACCAACTTTGTTTCTTCCCCCTCTCGTTCTGCGCAGAATATTGCTCAGCTTGGACAGAGAACTGGGGCTCAAGTTTGCATTTCACTCTCTACCTTAGCTAACCTGTTGGGGTTTTGTTTTTTTTCCCTGGCTTTGAGGAAGGTGCTGGATTTACCTTTGAATTATACTTGTATTTGTAATAGGTTGCCACACCTTTGCCACTTATTTCCCTACAGGAGAGACTGGGGTTCATTTTGCTGGTGACTGCTGAGATTGTTTTCCATTGAAATTCTTGCTCTGATGGAAAGGAGATGGTGGTCTGGGCAATTGGGGTGAGGAGACTTCCCACCACCCTCTATGCTAGAGCAACTCTTTTATCTATTTTAACTAGTCCGTATTTTAGTTTATACACAGCCCTTTTTTATTTGATACTTGCCTATCATAGAGGTGAAGGACTGGAAGGGACCTCGATAGGTTTTTTTCCACTGCACTGAGGCGGGAGTAAGTATTATCTAGATAAGTGATTCTCAAAGCCGGTCCACCGCTTGTTCAGGGAAAGCCCCTGGCGGGCCGGACCAGTTTGTTTACCTGCCGCATCCACAGGTTTGGCCAATCGCAGCTCCCACTGGCCGCGGTTCGCCGCTCCAGGCCAATGGGGGCTGCAGGAAGCAGTGTGGGCCAAGGGACGTGCTGGCCGCCCTTCCCGCAGCCCCCATTGGCCTGGAGCAGCGAACTGCAGCCAGTGGGAGCCGTGATTGGCCGAACCTGCAGACACGGCAGGTAAACAAATGAGTTGGGCCCGCCAGGAGCTTTCCCTGAACACGCGGTGGACCAGCTTTGAGAACCACTGATCTAGATCATCCCTGACAGTTGTTTGTCTAACTTTTTTGTAAAAACTTCCAATGACAGAGATTCCACAACCACCCTAGGAAATTTGTTCCAGTGCTTAACTATCCATAGAGTTAGGAAGTTTTTCCTAATGTTTAACCTAAATCTCCCTTGCTGCGGTTTAAGCTCATTACTTCTTGTCCTGTCATCAGTTGTTAAGGAGAACAATTTATCCCCCGTGTCTTTATTAATAATCTTTCACATACTTGAAGACTGTTATCATGTCCCCCCTGTCTTCTCTTCTCCAGACTAAACAAACTCAGTTTTTTTAATCTTTCTTTCTAGGTTATGTATTTTAAATCTTTACTCTTTTTTGCTACTCTCCTCTGGACTTTCTCCAATTTGTCTGCATCAGTCCTGAAGTGTGGTGCCCGGAACTGGCCACAATACCTCCACTGAGGCTTATCAGTGCTACATAGGGCAGTAAAATTACATCTCGTGTCTTGCTTACAACAGATGTGCTAATACAACCTAGAATGATGTTTGGTTTTTTTGCAACAGTATTACATTGTTGACTCATATTTAGTTTGTGATCCAATATAGCCCCCAGATACTTTTCTGCAGTTCTCCTTTCTAGGCAGTCATTTCTCATTTTGTATTTGTGGACTTGATTTTTCCTTCCTAAGTGGAATACTTTGCCTTTGTCCATATTGAATTTCATCCTATTTATTTCAAACCATTTCTCCAGTTTGTAAAGATCATTTTGTCCTCTGATGTGCTTGCAACCCCTCCCAGCTTGCTATCATCTGAAAACTTTATATGTGTACGCTCTATTCCATTATCCAAATGATTTATGAAGATAGTGAATAGAACCAGGCCCAGGACAGATCTCTGCAGGACCCCACATGTTATGCCCTTCCAGCTTGACTGTGAACCACTGATAACTATCCTTCAGTTTTCTAACCAGTTGTGCACCCACCTTATAGTAGGTTCATGTAGGCTTTATTTCCCTAATTTGCTTATGAGAAAGTCATGTGAGACAGTATCAGAACCCTTACTAAAGTCGACATATATCAAATCTACCGCTTCTTCCCCCATCCACAAGTCTTGTTACGCTGTCAAAAAAGGATATTAGGTTGGTTTGACATGATTTGTTCTTGACAAATCATGTTGGCTGTTACTTATTACCTTATTATCGTCTAGATGCTTACCTTCTGTGAAAACTTTATAACTTGACTCCTGAAGAAGATAATCCACCACCTTTAGCTAACACAGACTACTTCTACCAGTCTATTCTCTGGCTAGCTATTATGCTTTACTCCTGCACTTGGTAAACTGTACTGGCTTTCTGTAACATGGTAGACTGTGGTTTCAGATTCTACAGTTGACCTGTAAGGCTTTGTAAGGACAGTAGTCAGCCCAGTGCTTCTCTTTGAACTTTTGCTGCCATATGTTCCCATTCACCCTGTAAGACCTACAGGGGAGGGTTTATTATAATCAGAACTGTGTCAGAGATCATGCTTTCTCAGCTGCTGCCCCAAGAAGCAAGCCTCCCTTTTCCAGAAGACCTGTATTCTTTGTACATTATCTACAGAAACAGAGCTGGAGGGTCAGATCCTCCGCTGGTGTAAAATAGCATAGCTCCCTTGACTTCAACAGACCTATGCTTATTTACTTCAGCTAAGGATCTGGCCCTGAAAAATCTTTTAAAGACGCCTTGGCAATATGGTTTAATATAGTTTGTTGTTTGTTTTCAGATTTGCTTTTTGCTTGTTATAAATGGCAACTTGGATTTCAGAACAATTAAGTCAATCTAGTGCAATGCATGCCTGAAACCCTCTAAAATCATAGCTTGAAGCATGCAGCTAAATGAGGTAAAGGTTTATTCTGTATGCTGTACTTAGAACCATTTATTTGAGCATCTGTTAGTAAGAGCTGGGTATGAAACTACCTGCCATAGCACAATACAAAGGGGTTATTAAACACAAAATTAGTGGATCTTTAATTGCTTCTGACATGGGCAAGAAAACAGTTGTGGGCACATTTCACTAGCTTAGCTCAGCCTGCATTGTCCTTTTCTATTGTCCTTTTCTCATTTCTAAGGTGGCACTGAGTGTATCAGATGTGACATGACGTGACTTAACAATATGTATCACATATGGGGAAAGGGAAAAGCTTCTTTTGCAGCAGGTAGAGGGATGGCAGATGGTAAGACAACAGCAAAACAGGTGGAACCATTGTTTGATGATGATCTGAATTAAGTTCAGTTAATTTACTATATCTTTACATATCCCTAGCAACTAAAATCTCAGACTTCATTGCACGAGATCGAGATCAGGTTTATACTTTGCAGACAAACTGTCAGTGCAAGTCCATCTGTGACTGCTTGTAGAGCCAAATCTGTCTTAAAGTCAACTGCAAAACAAAATGCCTGTTTCTATCTTCTGGGTGTCAGTAACCCCCTGAAGCCAGGACATTAGACACCCTGTGCAGTGATGTAAAAATGTGTCTTTTCTCAGGATTTTCATGCACAGGGCAATTCCTCTCCATTCTCCTTTTACTGATAAGCTGCAAAAAAGCTCTGACAATGACACAGATTCGTCCTTCTCCACTATAGCCCTAACCTGGCATTTTCAGAATCAGGGCCCCCTCTCATGCTGAGGTTGCTGGCTAGAACTTGGGGAAACTTTTGAGTTGATTTCCAAAACAGATTTACTTAAAGTGGTAAACCAGATGCACCCTTGCCCTCTGTCAAATGGACCACGGTCAGCCACGTTGCTTACTCAATGATTTTTAATCCTGGGTCACATATTGGCCAGGATAATTCATTTCCCCTTGAAGAGTGTGGCATGTCTTTGTGTACTTAGATGCACTATTTGTTTTGCTGAAAAGACCTCTCTCCCTTCTCCTCTCTTGTATGGACTAAGATCCTTTCAGACCTGCTGATTTGTGAGCACGGTTGTAGGGAAAGGCGTAGCAATGCATCCCATCTACCTTTGCTCGTATGAAAATTCCCACTTAGTTTTAGATGTAGACACAGCATAAAGACAGACTGATATGGGGCTGCTAATACTGCCACAGCAAAAAGGTGTTTTCATCTTGTCCTTCTTTATATTCTTTGTATTATTACGGATGACTAGAGCTGCTCAAAAATTTTCCGATGGAACATTTCAGAAAATGCTGCTTCCACAAAATCAAAACATTTTACAGGAACATATTGAGTTAACAGAAACTTTTGATGAAAAATTATCAGAATGTTTTGCTTTGATAAGGGGAAACCATTTTAGTTTGATAAGATCAAAGAGTTTTGTTTTGACTTTATTCTTTCGATTTTTCTCTTCTAGGCTATTCTAACTCAAAGTGAAGTGCTTTGACCTTATCGAAAGGAAATGTTTAGATAAGACCATTTTGATATTTCGGAAACAAAATTTGTCTGAAATTTCATTGTGCAGGAAATTTGAAATTTTAGCTGTTTTGTTCTGATTTTGACCAATCTTGAAATGTCAGGATTTCCCACAGAACAGAAATTCAGAGTTTCAACCAGCTTGATGCACTAGGTCACTGGGTTCTTTCACCCCTGTGAACACATGGAGGGCCTTTGAGGTACTGTCATTACCTAATTTAATCAATTTCCCTTTAAATGTCTTTCAGCTGGCTCAGTTATTCTGGGATTCCTCTGCTTTGTGACCAGCCTATAGATTTACTTTGCAAAAGTGGCTAAGGGAACGGGAGAAGGGTAGGCTCAGTGCTGTCTTAACATCAGCTGGTCAGGATGGAGTGTTTCAAAACTGGTTCTGGCTCAAGTCAGATAAAGCTGATGTGATCCTGACTGGCCTGATGTGCTCTCTGAGTCAGGCTCCCCCATTACTCCCACCACATTACATTAGAAGATTCA